GCACTGGGGAAGCCCACGAGCTCGCTCCACACCTCGGGGCAACCGCCTGGGGGCGCTGCCTCGGGTCGGAGTGATTTGTAGGCTTTTGATTTCTAAAAGTCAAAATTGATCTGCATTGTATCTCAATAGACTCCTAGAATTCTCACCAAAATTTGTGCAATCTGTTTAAATAGCACTGGAGTAATTCAGCTTCATTTAAATATAGTCATTCTACCAGAAAATATTTCATACAAACATCTATTTACATACAAACACATTAAAATTTGCGAAAAGGGCTTCCACCCCTGTGATCATATGGCTTGAGAGAGTTTCATTGCTTTGAGTATGTATGCACACATTTGGCAAAAGGAAATTATTGAAATTTAGTATTTTTAAAGTAAAAAAGCCTCCAAATTCCTGAAAGTTCAAAGAAAAAAAAAAAAAAAAACTATCGAGGTACCTCAAGTGGTTGCAATTTTAATAGATTTTGTGAACCTTTGATCTGTGGCAAATAAACATTACAACTATCAGTCTTGCAACGTAGTTTTGCTTGTTTTTCTAAAACAAAAGATGTCACGAGTCTATTAAATCACTACTCTTAAGACAGAAACTCGAGGCAACTGTTTTAAACCCAAAAAAATGGAAAACTGTACCTCTACCCTCTTGGAAGATTTTAAATGCATTTCGAGATGAGCGATTGAAATTTCTGTATATTCCATGAAAGTTACTAAAAGCGTCAGTACTGTCTCCCCAAGATAACCCTGTAGCTCACTGTTCACAATGAAGGAGATTTGGATCATCACTTTTCCACGCTGTGCATGCCGACGTGTGGTCTTCTTGGCCTTTTTGGGTTGTTGGAGAGAAGGAAATCGATTTTCAAGCATGAAGAACCCCAGGGCCAATAGCTTTACAGTCCCAGGCAGGTTCAGAGAGGTCGTGAAAACAAATTTCCTTCCTGGTTGCTCAGGTTGGGCTGTGGGGGTGAAGCGGTTGAAACAAGAGTAGGTCCTACAAAACCCAAGTCCTCCTCCTCTGTGGCCTTCGTCATCCTTCCTGTGAGTCGGACATTCAGTCCTCCTGTGGCGTTTGTGAGTCCATTCAATGTCCAGCTGGGACATGCTCCTCCAGGTTACGTCCTAGTCCTAACTCTACCATGAGATAGTAGTTCGTTCTAGAAAAGATGCTATGGGAAGATCTAGTCATGCAGGATTGGACTGAGACAGCTCTGAGTGAATCTCCAGGACAATGCTGTTGTTTAGGAGTATAGACTCACATCTACTCCCCACCACGTGGGCTCCTGCACATCCCTGCGGTGACCCGGATGCGGAGTCAGCTGCTTCCTGACACAGCTCCTCCTACAGTGGGTGAAAAGCTCGTCATTCTGAGGCTGTTCCACTCACACTTTGGTTCAAACAAGGACCACACTGGTCTTTCCCCAGCAGTCAACTCCTTCTGAAACCCTGGCCCTCTCCACTTCTTTCCCTACCTGCACAACACAGCAGATCTCAGGGCCCCTCAGTTCCCACCTGTGCAAAGTGGAATGTGCGTGCATGAGGGGAGGTGTGGTGGGGGACAGCAGGTGTGACAGCATCACTCAGGGGTAGAGAGCAACTGGAGGAAGGTTCGCACAGAAAGGTCTGGAAGAGAGAGGAAGAGAGAGAGAGAGAGAGCAAGTGAGTGCTGGAGACACAGACCACAAGAGAGGAGAGCAACTTGCCTGGAGAGTTGGGAATGGGGAGTCTGGCTGGGCTAGGGTTCCACCTAGAAACTTAGGCTTCCTTGTGTGGGAGGAGAGAGAAGAAGAAAGAGCCGGGGCTGGGAAAAGGCGAGCAGGAAGTGTGGAGAATCAGGCAGAAAGTCAGAGAGAGGCTCAGCGTGGTGTCCTCTTGCCTCCAAATTACCTGGAGGTCATAGACACATGGCCTGGTTGTAAGCTGAGTGTTTTCATTCAATATGTAATTGGAAGAATTGATCATTTTACTTCGGGACTCCTAACCATCTTCAATCCCTTTGATCCAAAAATTTTGTTCTAATTGCATTTCAAGGGGATCACTAGAGTACCCTTCTGGGATAGAAATTATATCCCAGCATGGCCGTGACCATGGGAGACCACAGACGGCTGTGTCACAGGTCTAACCTGCACCCTGCTCTCTCCGACCTCTCTCCCTGGCCTGGCTCTGAGGACCCCTGACTGGGCCTACTTCCTCCTGTCACTCACTTTGGGATACCTTTAAATAAAAACACCTATCAGAATCCAAGTCCAGAGACTCCGTCCGTCTGCCACAGATTACAGAACAATCTCTTTCTACAGAATAGAAGCGATCCTACCCTGCTGCCTTTTGAGCTAAAAACCCCATGCAGTTCCTTTTGCAGGAGCCCTTCCTGGAAGCCCTGAAGACTCCCTCTTGTACTGTGAACCATCAGCTTAAGCATACAAACAGGAATCCAGCTGGATCTCCCCGAATCCCCCACCACCTAGCTCCAAAGCACACAGCCGGGCGTCCAGGAAGCCTGGCCTTGAAAAGACTAGATGGACCGCTCGGTCACTGCCTTGAGGGGTGAACCCTGCAGGCCGCAACCCTTTTCCCCGCCCCTGGGATACCTGACCTCCAAGTTGCCGGCTGCCCTGGATCACGCTCTTCTATTAAAGGCTTCCTAAGAGCACTGTCTTACCGACAAGAGCTAGCAAACTCTCTTTTCCCTGTCTCCTGATTCCTCCACCGCTCCCAGCCATACTTCTCCCATCAGCAGGAGCTCACTGTGGGCTACAGCTTGGAAGGCCAAACCGAGGCTTTCAAGGCCAAACCGACTGGGGGCGACAGATGGCCACTGCTGACGGCTGCAGGTCAGAGCAAGCCCTTCCTGAGACCTCATCGCAGCATCTAAAGAAGACGCAGCTCCAAATCGGTGGCATGTGGTGCACTGCTTATTGAAAACCAAGCGTTCCGGATTCATTCAGAGCCATCCCAGCTATGTTATCAATCTAATGTGCTAAACTAAAAAACAAGGGTTTTCTCCTTATTTCTGCAGTTGTGATTACACATGGCTTGCAAAGATGGCTGAAAGGCTATTGATACTGCTGCTGTCAACTACACAGGTGCTAACTCTCAGTTTATAATGCTTTGAAGCAAGTCAGTTTTGAAATTACAATGAGCAAGAGTAAGGTTTGATTTGTACCTAGAGATCAGTATGTCTGCCTTAACAGTATTGATTTAAAACTTGTTGTTTGAATTCTGTGTTAGAACTCAAGTTTGCTATTTGACTTTTGAGTTCAATGCACTGTGCCACAAGCCAGACTGCGCTATGTTATGTACATTTAATGTGTCCCCAAGGAAAAAAAATGACTAACACTATTGAAGATATTGCAAAATTGCCACAGTTACTGCTTAGAAATACTAATAGTCCTCTCTTCTTTCTTAAAGTATATATTACAACTCTCCATAACTTAATGCAAACGAAGTAAATTCATTTCTTCCCACATCTTAAAGCAAAGATATCTTTGTTTACATGTGAGAATAATAATTCTATAATAACAACTCCGGCTCTATGAGCCAGTACTTTATATTAGGGTGTAATAATGAAACAAAGAGCCAGAAAGACCTACGCACTCCCAGTGACACAAAATCTGTTTGGAAGGTTTCTCTCATCATCCATCCGGGAGGATAGCTAAGACAGGGAACAGGACTGAGAATTGAAATGACCCAAAAAGAGGGCTTCTGTGTACTAGGAAAAAAACAAAGCCAGTCTATTGCAAGATACAGATCAAAGGTTAGAAGGCAAATTATACTACATTTAGAGAATACAGATGTAATCATTCTCTATTTCCCACACGGCGCAGATGCAAGTGTGAGAATGCAATCTGCATTGGCCGGAGGGAAAAAAAAAAAAAAAAAAAAAACCACTGATGACACATGACCGAAAAGCCCCATCTCCCATTTTCAGTCTGATCATTTGGCATCTCTGAATTTGGGACAGATTTAGACCCGAACCACCACCGAACGTCACGCCGTCGTAGGTCGAGTGCTCCACGAAACCTCTCAGTAGGATGTTGCTGCAAGGCTAGCTAATTTTAAATCTGGTATGAGTAATGCAGTCAGACCTAGTTAGTGTGCAAGAGCGTCGCTGCTAACGCAGCCCGAGAGGATGTGATGGTGCAGCACGAGCAGTCCCTGGCTGTCCCATTGTCGGAGAATCGTAGTGCATAGATCCAAGTTTCTTGTGCCAGGTCTCTGGAACCCCGGGACCAGGCCTTTCACTTTTGCTGGGTGGCCTGGAAGGCTTTTAGCTCCACCTGGTACCACTCGGGGGCTTCAGGCCCACTCTTGCCAGGGGGACTGTGGTCATAGCCGTAGGCGACCGTGAGCTCCTCGTCAGCCTCCACCGCTCGCAAGGTGCGGATGCATTTGATGGGCCCAAAGCGGGGGTGGACAAACCTGAGCAGGAAGAGGCACATGGTCATTCCTGGGGCCAGGCTGGGGCAGAAGGCAATCACCTACGTGCTCCTCCCTGGCCGCCACAGGTGTGGATGCAAAGTGCAGTCCGCAGGGCAGCTGGCTTCCACTCCCCCGGGACCTGGTGGGACACAGAGCCCCCCAGCCCTACTCTAGGCCCACGGGGTTGCAGCCTGCATTGTAACCACACTCCCAGGTGATGCACTGGCATGTTCAAGTTTGAAAAGCACTGCTCTATGTTTTTGAGCACACATGGCCCTCTGTATTTTGTAAAACCAGCAACCAGGGTCAACCACAAACATCTCTCCTTAATTAGAAAATCAGAGCCAGTGATCCCATCAGCATTTCAGCTCTTCTGTTGGCAGCAGATGCTAACATGGCTGGTAGCATCAGCTTACCTGGCTGTACCTCGGGGTGAAGGCTTTGCTGGTGTCTTAGGACTGAAACAACCCTGCTTCTTTCTAAAATCCCAGCTTTTGGATCTTCAAAACAAAAAATCCCATCTTTCCCCCCATCTACATAGAGGATGCATAAAAGCAGATGAAGATTTCTTTCCAAGAGGCAGGTCTGCACTTCTCTGCCAATCTGCTTTTTTAGCATTTCCCTGGGAAGCACCCTGCAAAGGGAGCAGTGTCTCATCCCTGTAACAAACTCTCTCGCAGAACCAGAAGTGGGGTCAAGGCCATGACCAACGTCAGCTGCTGCCAAAGGCTCTCAGCCAGCCCCAGTCCCCAGCACAGCCCCCCACAGGAGAGGCTGGTAAAAATAGACTGAGCTCACCCGCAGATGCTGAGATGGAAAGGAACCAGCTTGGCTTTGTATGCATCTGGTCAAATACATCTCTTTCATTTCCAATCACCTTTTGAACCAGAAGGTCAGTTCCGGGCCCTGACGTGGAGCGGCAGGGAGTGTGTCTGTGGCTCCCAGACACATTTTACCATACAGTATGCAAAGGAACAGCCTCTACTCAGTGCCACAGGGGTGCTCTGTCCATCTTACTTTGGTTTCATGTTTCCTGGAAAGTCACTTAACTTGGGGTCAGATGGCTGTGGGGTGAGTGCTGGTTCTACACATGAGAACTGTGTGCTCTTGGGCAGCCTGCCTTGTATCTGAATCACACTGTTGTCACCTGCAAGATCCTGGCAATACTTACTGTACAGCATCTCCGGGGTGAAAGATGGGGTCACAAATGGCAAGCACTTCACATGGCGCCCGGTACAAAGTGAGGACTTAGCTAGCGCTCATCACTACGTGTGTGAGCATGTATATGAGTGTGAGTGTGCATGTGTGTAAGCTTACATGCATGTGAGCATGCATGTGTCAACATGTTTGCATGAGTATATGAACATGCACATATGTGAGCATGTCTGTGTGTAGACATCTGTGAGAGTGTGAGCATGCAAGTGTGTGAACACATACATGTGTCAGAATGTGTGCGTATGCATGAGTATGTGAACATGCATGTGTGTGAGCACACAAGTGTGTGTGTGTGAGTGTGCAAGTGTACAGAATGACCAGGCTGTGCTCCATTGCAAAGGAGATGCCTGACCCAGGGACTCAGGAATTCCTCATTAAAATTACAACTCTTTGTCTTTAAATTAAAATATCTCATCACAATTTACACCATATTTCTAGTGCAGTAAAAAATAGCACTCCTGAAACAGAGCTCTGGGTAGCCTTCCAAAACATTGAAAATAGTCCTGTGTTGAATTTCTGGGCCTAAGTCTTCTCTGAGGATTCCCTCATATTTTCATTTTCTTGCTCATTGTCATTATTTTCGGAGGGTAGATAATGGGCAGGCTGAAAAGAGCGAACTCGGTTTCAAGTGATGGTTCTTGAAGAAGGCACCAAGGCGCAGCAATGGCTAAGAGCACTTAGGCAGAGTGCTTAGGAGGCCAGTGTTTCCTCGCCTGGGATCTGGGAAGATGGGGCAGTGGCCTCAGGAGGGGTAGGCAACGCAGGACTCACAGTGGGCAGGGCACCTGCTAGCGGTGCTCAGTGAATGTGAGCTGCACGGTCAGCCGCAGAGTCAAACCTCTGTGCCAAGGGGCTTGGCTCCTTGTCGGCCCCTCACCACACGCACAGCTGGGAAATTAGCTCCCGGATGTCCCATGTGACATTTTGCACAAGACCACAGTTTTGAGGGTACTTCAAAAAGTTCATGGAAAATAGAATTGAAGATATGTTTATTTTGGTGCAAAATATTTTGAAACTCATGAATATGAAGTGGTCTGGAAGAACGCATAGAAAATGTATATTAGGGGCCGGTGCTGTGGCATAGCAGGTTAAAGCTCCAGCCTGCAGTGCCGGCATCCCATATGGGTGCCAGTTTGAGTCCCGGCTGCTCCACTCCCAATCCAGCTCCCTGCTAATGTGCCTGGCAAAGCAGTAGAAGATGGCCCAATCTCCCTGGCACCTATGTGGGAGATATGGCGGAAGCTCCTGGCTTCAGATGAGCTCAGCTCTGGCTGTTGTGGCCACATGGAGAGTGAACCAGCGGATGGAAGACCTCTCTCTCTCTGTCTCTACCTCTCTCATAACCCTGTCTTTCAAATAAATAAAATAAATCTTTTAAAAAAATTTAAAAAATGTATATTAGGAAAAAAACTACACATAGATTCAAAATTGTTTGCACAAAACAAGCTTATCTTTTAATCCTGTGAACATTTTGAAGTAGCCTCATAAAACAGCTTACAGAGTATTGCTTTAGGTTAAAGCACATATAACAATGCCAATGATTTCAGAAGTGAATGTCATGAATTGGTATTTGGCTGTTGTTCATGTAGTCTTTCCATGATCTCAGATGACTAATATTTGGTCACACTGAACTTGCAAACAAAGAAAGCAACAAAATCAAGATCCTGAGTACAGATATGTAATTTTGCATAATGAGACCTTCTCTTGGGTCCCATGGTCTTTTTCTTTTGGTGAGAAAGATCGTGTCCTTGCAATGAAATCACAGGACGGGCCGGAGCAGCTTAAGCAGCAATAATGCTGTTTAGTTACTATTGCTTTAAAAAGGTTGCTGTTAAGCTGAGCACAGCTTGGAATGATGCTCTGGCCTTATCCACATTGGCCATGGGTGCCTTGGGGTTAGTAACCGTGTCAGTTTCACTCCACATGACACATGTCCTTTGCCCTTTAAACAGAAGATGCAGCTCCAGTGCTCGTTACTGGCTGCCAAGCAGAGCAAGGCGCTGCCAGATGATTTTTTCAGCCATCTCAGAGACGCGAGAAGGAACATTCTTGAGGAACCTCCAAATCCTGGCAATTTTCCTCCAGATGAAGTGCACACGATCTGCTCTTGCCTATGCTAACAAGTGGGATGACTGAGGGCCGCAAGCTATAGCTGCACAGAGAGGGTTGCACACAGCTCATCAGCTCCCAGGCATTATTGGCATCCTCCGGCCAAGCTAAGGAGAAAGATGGCGATGGTACAAAGTCCCAGCTGTATGCTTTTGAGAACAGCCAGAGATGCTTGGCTTTGGAATGAGAACATCCAGGGAGCACATGAAAACTACTCAACTACTTGGAGGGCTACCTTGTAGAAGACAGGTTGACACAGGGGCAGGAGAGAAAGGGACACAATCAGTGTTGAGGGCTGGATGTCATTTGGGCTTACTATAAAGAACTTGCTAGTCCTCTGAGCCAAAGCTAATTTCATATCTGTTTCATTTGCTGGGACAGCTGCCTCTGCAGATAATAACAATCCCCCCTAACCTGTGGAGGTTTCCAAGCAGAGATTCAATGAGCAGATGGAAGAGAAGGCTCAAACTCCAACAGAGGGTAGGAGTCAGATTATTAATATTTTTAACGACCACCTTAAGACATAAGTCACACATCATACATTCACCTTTGTGAAATGGAAAGAGTATGTGCTTAAATATTCAACAGTTGTGCCACCATCCCCATGATCTAATCTTACAAAGTCTAATCCCCACAAAGTGAAATCCTCTACCCATCAACAGACACCTCTCATCGCCCCCCTTCCAGTGCTAGGAAAGCACGATCTACACTCTCTTCAGATGTCCTATTGTGGACATTTCCTGTAAACAGTCACACAACAAGTGCCGCTCTGCAGCTGGATCCTTTTGCCATGTGTTATGTTTTCAGGTCTCATCTATACTGCGGCATGTGCCATTCTGTTTTGTTACCAACTATAGGGACTCGGATTTGACCAGTCTCTTCCAACACTGAGACCTCATGCCCTGGGCTTAGGTTTGATTTTCCTCCCTGCTTCCACATCATGAAAGAGTTCTGTAATTGTCTCCAGGAGCAGAATAACTTTGAGCTTTACCATTATTCCCAACAACACTATGCTTAATTTTCCAGAATGAGAAAGTTGATGGACAAAGAAGGCAGCCAAAAAGACAGCAGCCACTCAGTATGGAATTTCCATAGCATTTCTCCCTTTGAAGCCCTTTGTATTTCTTACTTGCCAAGGCTGCGAAATGGGGCTGTTTGGGTTCTGAGCTTCGAATCAGCTGTGGCATGAGGTGGAGGACGCTCAGTGGTTCTGATGGGGCAGGAGACATCTTTTCCACACCCCCCACCCCTCAGGGCCCTGTGGCCCCAGAGCCACCCCAGCACTGGCGTCATACTTACATATCATAGACGCAGTTTGGAGTGAAGGAGGGATTCGCCTTGTGTCCCAAGGAGGCACAGTACTTGGATACGTGGTTATAGGGCTCAGGCACATCAATGACCGTTTCTTCATCGAGGGAGAGGGTGTTCCCATTAAGGACCCAGTCCCTGCTGTCAACCTGCAGAGAAGAAGATAGCAAGTGTCCAAGAGGCTCCTCCTCCCAGGGGCTCAAAAACATTGGAGACACTAACTCGTATGTCCTTCAACTTCATAATCTTAGTGTCAAAGACATGGAAAACTTAATATGGGCTGGCATTGTAGAGCAGCAGGTAAAGCTTCCGCTTGTGGTGCCCGCATCCCACATGGGCTCCGGTTCAAATCCTAGCTGCTCCACTTCTGATCCAGCTCCCTGCTACTGCACATGGGAAAGCAGTGGAAGATGGCCTAACTGCTTGAGCCCATGCCACCTACATGGGAGACCTGGACAGAGTTTTTGGCTCCCGGCTTCCGTTTGGCCCAGCCTGGACAATTGCATCCATTTGGGGAATGAGCCAGTGGATGGAAGATCCCTCTTTTTCTGTCTCTCCCTCTCTTTTTCTAACTCTGCGTTTCAAATAAATAAATAAAATAAATTTAAAAAAATTAATGCGGTTCTCCACATACTGATGGTGCAAATGACATATATGGGCAGTTCAGTTTACTATTGATTGACGTTTTTATGTCCCTTATAAAGACAGACAAAAGTATAACCAGATAAGCTGACTTAAAAGTAGACAAGGGACCAACCAGTGCTATGGCGTAACGGATAAAGCCACCACCTGCAGTGCCAGCATCCCCATATGAGTGCCAGTTTGAGTCCCAGCTGTTCCACTTTTGATCCAGCTCTCTGCTATGGCCTGGGAAAGCAGTAAAAGATGGTTCAAGTCCTTGGGTGGGCCTCTGTACCCATGTGGGAGACAAAGAAGCTCCTGGTTCCCGGCTTCAGATCTGCACAGCTCCAGTCGTTGCAGCCACTGGGGAGTGAACCAATGGATGGAAGAACCCCCTCCCCCCACCTCTCTGTAACTCTGCCTTTCAAATAAATAAATAAATAAATAAAATCTTAAAAAGTAGACAAAGGCCACTTGTTCTTTTCCTGAATGCCTGGCCGAGGAGCTATTGTGGTGATGTCCCTCACCAGCAGGGACCTTGCTAAAATTCTGCCCCCCTCCAGCCCGACACTGAATTTGCCTTCGTGATCAACCAGGCTGCATCCTGCAGCTCTCCAGGGCCCCTCTGGCGTGCTGGGAGCATCTCTGCTGTGCCCAGCCATGCCCAGGAACGCCCCAGGCCCCAGGTTGGAGTGGCTGAAGAAGCTATGAGCATCTCCATGGATATAGAGGAGGCCCCTCCCGGGCGGGGGGGGGGGCAGCACAAATGTGCAAACGAAAAAGTGGGCAAAGAAAATGAGGCAAAAGAAGAGGCAAAGTAAGAGCATCCGGTGGAACCAGGAACAAAGGGGTTGCAAGACGTCCTGCATCTGTGCCCCAGGTGGGCCATCAGCGTGACTAGCAGACAGTCCCCGATGAGGACCAGTGTACTCTCCTACCTACAACAGGATTCGCCACCCGCAGGGCAACCATGAGGCTTTCTCTCTCCAAAGTACTCCCAGCCAGCACCCCCAGGACCTGGGCATGCCGGCCCAACAGCCTCCTGGTGCCAACAGGACTGTATTTTCGTACAGAACTGCTTACTCTTGGAGGCGGACCATCCCTCCTGCCTCTCCATCACAACCATGCCTTTATCTGTATGTGACAGTTACTCAGTGGGCACTCACTGAGTGACGATCACGTGTCAGATATTGTTCTAGGTACCAGGGTCCAACCCAGCAGTTGTCAAGAGTGCACAGAATCCTCATGGATCTTACGATTCCAGCCCGGCCACGTCATGTCAGGACGGGACCCTTGGTCTCATGCACCTTACACTGTTAATGGCTGTTGCTTTGGTCTGGATGTGTTGGTTCCCCGGAGGGTTCAGGGTGGCAGTGCTGAGGTGTTGGGAACTTTAAGAAGTAAGGCCTAAACGGGCCCTGCGGTGGTTTGCTCTTGGAGGACACGCAGGCCCAGGCTAGTTCCGGAGAGAACGGTTGTTAAAGGGAGCCTCCTTTTGTGTGTGGCTGTTCTCTTTCCATTTCTCTGTCATGAGTGGTGCAGCCCAGAGTCTATCACCAGGATGTAGGTACCACGTTGTTCAGCCCCCTGTAGCCACCAGAGTCACAAGCCTCTTTGCTTTGTAAATTACCGAGCCTCAGTGGTTTTTATTTGTTGTTGTTGTTGCTAGCAATGCAAAATGGCTCAAGACAGTTAATGAATTTTTCCTATCTCCTCCACAGAATCTAAATTTCATGAGGGCCAGGAGGGAGTTTCATTCATCTTTATAATACCACACAGGGAGCGCCTGCACTGTTTGTTACTGGATTTGTGACCTTGGCCAAGTTGCTTAACCTCTTTAAGCTTCTGTTTCCTTTCTGTAAAATATTTAAATAAATAAACTCAGGCTAAGCATCCCTAACCTGAAATCTGAAATGCTCCCAAATGCTAAACTGTTTAGTGCTAACACAATGCCACAAATGGAAAATTCCACACCTCACCGCATGTGACAGGTTGCAAAGAGTGGGTGCACTGAAGATGTTCTATAAAACACCTCCAGGCAAGTGTGTAAGGTGTATATGAAGCATACATGAATTCGCTGTTTGGACCTGGGCCCTACCCCAAAACACCTCATATGTATATGGGAATATTCTGAAACCCAGAACACTTCTGGTCCCAGGCATTTCAGGTAAGGGACACTAATCCTGTAACATAGCATTATCTCAGAGTTACTCACTTTGTTTTTTGTTTTCCCAGCCAAAAGCAAATTTATTCAAAGGGAATAAGTGTGCAGAGGTGGCTGATTGCCAGCGTGTGCACAGAACTCCCAGAACTACTTTCAGAGGTTGAACTTCCGGGACTTTCTGGATTGTTCTATAGGGACCCCAGCTACCTGGCCACAGCCCAGTTTGAGCAAAGCACCATCTTTTGCTGTGCAATTGCTCTGAATGTAGAATAATGTGACTATCTCCGGGCATTTCCCCTGCTGGTGCAAAGGCGGGGGCATCAATGTGGGTGCCAGACACAAGCTTAAGTCCCAAACTCCTCCAAGTGAGATAAGGGTGAGGCTCCCCAGCTGAACTTTGCCTTTAAGCAGACTCTTAGGAGGCGAAGAAACAAAACCAAAACACATATATGTTGGACACAGTATCAAGGCTTGTGTCACTTTAATTTTCTGATTTAGTCTTTTTTTTTTTTTTTTTTTTTTTTGGCACTAGAACCCCTTACTCCTGACAAGATGTAGGCTAGTGGATGGACTCACACAATCAGAAGCAGGGGCTTCCCCTACACAGCACCCTGCCCAAGCTCATAGATTAATTATCACACAGTCCGACTGGAGCTTGATTCTTTTCGGACACTGGGTATGGTCCAGCACAAAGCAATTATTGCCTGATTTATGACATCATCACACTTTCTATAAAACAGCAATGGAACTTGTAAAAAATATTAAGCCTCAAAAAGAAAAAAATAAAAGAGGAAACTATCCAATCAATTTTATAGAAATGCCAACCCATTTGTTCCTTAATATTTCTGGTGAATATGAAAGTAAAGAATGCTATCTGGCACAAAGCCCTCAGCCAATCTCGTCAGCTTCCTCTCCCACCCTCTCACCTCTTGGTGTGTAATTCGGACTCCATTATAAAAAGACATGGCGGTATTGGGGCCCACTGCCACTTTCGAAAACAGTCCTTCTCCGGCGCTGGAAATGAGAGATTCTGCAACATAAACCCTACAGAGAAAAAGAGGGTTGAATAATGACTTTCTAGTTTGATAAGTCACTTTTTACATCAACCAACAAAGGGCGTTGTGGCTACCAAAGCCAAAATATCAGCTTATATAATCCAACAAAGAAGGAAGGAAAGTAAAATTATAAAGTTTTAGCACTGGGAATGGCAGAAGTGGCAGTTATGTCTCTTTTAAGAGTGGTGTTCAAAATTTGCCAATAAGATTATTGCATATTCATAAAGCTGCCTGGCACTTGACACGAGGGGATCTCTTTTTTCTTGGTTGAATTTTATCTTTTTAGTTACTGACAATTTTCATGGTCCTACTGGACAAGTAAAAGAACTTTCCAATATTCATTAAAACTATATTCGAGTTTGTCAGTGCCAGCTAGGAGGGAAAGACTGTTCTAATTAAACCTCAAGATGAATCTTTGACATGAAAGAATGACAGTTATTAAGATAAATAAAAATTTGCATCAAATTGAGAAGTTTCTGTACTGCAAAAGAAACAGGAAAGTAAAGAGGCAACTGACAGAATGGGAAAAAATATTTGCAAACTATGCAACAGATAAAGGTTAATAACAAGAATCTACAAAGAGATCAAGAAACTCCACAACATCAAAACAAACAACCCACTTAAGAGATGGGCCAAGGACTCAATGGACATTTTTCAAAAGAGGAAATCCAAATGGCCAACAGACACATGAAAAAATGTTCAAGATCACTAGCAATCAGGAAAATGCAAATCAAAACCACAATGAGGTTTCACCTCACTCCAGTTTGAATGGCTCACATTCAGAAATCTACCAACAACAGATGCTGGTGAGGATGTGGGGAAAAAGGGACAAAAAAAAAAAAAGATAAATGAAACGAATACTTCCCAATAAAAGGCTATATAATGGGCCTCAGCTATTTATAACCCAAGGTCAAATGCAGCTGTTGCTTCTTTTTGTAAATAAAGTTTTATTAGAACACAGCCATATCATTTTGTTTAGCATTGTATACAACTACTTTAGTGCTACAAAGGCAGAGTGGAGTAATTACAACAGAAATCAGATGGCCTAAAACACCCAAAATATTTAGTGTGTGGCCTTGTCCAGGAAAACCACTGATTTCTAACAGAAAACAGCATTCACGATTATGGAACTGAATTTATTAAGGCAGTAGATGTCCCGGCACCTGGCAGGAACTGGACATATAATTTTTGTTACATGGACCTTAGGCTTATTTTGTGAAATGAAAGATTGAATTATTGCTTCCAGCGCTCTACTTTCCCTGTGACAGAAGTACAGGAAGGAACTTCAAAACATTTGTGGAAAAATAGCATTAAAGATAAGTTTATTTTGGTGGAAAACATTTTTGAGCCCCATGCATAGCTTTTTCACAATACAAATTCTTCATGAACTTTTGGGAGACCCCTAGGACATCCTGCCCCTGCACCATGCAATCTTGGTGGTGGTGGGGGAGGGGGTTGACATCCCTGCCCTTCTGACTTCCTGCCTGCTCCCCAGTGGAGCCCAGCGGAAGTGACTGCATGCTGTGTGTCTGGTGTTGAGAGGTGAGGCAGGTCTCTGCCAGCCCCACTACGCCCACCCCCAGAGTTCCCACTGTTTCCAGGAGGAGAATATGCCCAAGGGGACAGCGGCTCCTGTAGCCGGAATCTTGGAATGAAGACATGTGAAACAGACCTGAACCCGACTTGAAGCCTGGAGTCCAGCCCAATCCAGCTGAGCCTAGTTGGTCCCAGTCAAAAGAGGCTGAACTCCAGCCAACCCATAGGACCAGGAGCATAAAAGAAAATGTTTGCTTTTGTAAAGCAGCAGTGGTTAGCAAGATACTGTTAGGCAGCGTCATCACAACAATGATAACAGGAAAGACGGACACATGCAACTATGGACTGTGTTGTTTGAGGCTAACAAAGAGACCAGACATCCCTCTGTAACTGGGCCAGAGTCTCATGTCCAGAAAAGAGGCCACTTATTCATTGTGACATTGTAGAGTCAGCCTGTTAGTCAAACAAGGGAAGAGCCCTATTTCTGAGATGGTAATAGAAATAGAAATGGAATGGGAGGCAATACATGCTTATTACAAAGAGCAAAGTCGACAGAAAACCCACCTTGGAGAGTTCTTTACTATAAACAGACCCAGTGCTACCCAGGCAGGGTAGCAGAAAAAAGCCATGGGGAGCGGGACCTCAGCTGTGCCGTAGGCGTGAGAGGAAATGGCACAGGGGGCACTCTGGGAGTGAGCTTCCAGAATCAGAAATATGTCCCTTACAAGCTGGAATCTTTATGTGTCTCACACCTCCTTTGTTTCTTCCTGTCCTTTCTTAAGTGGATAAAGAAATTATCTTGGGTTCCAGACCCCTCTGCTGGGCATGGAAGATAAGGAGGGCTCTGGATGTGTAGGGGACAGCTTTAGCGAGTGTGACGTGCTCCCCAGGGGACAGAGGGACTGCTGCATAAACTGCAGCCCTGGAGCCCTAAGAAGGGTGACGCAGGGTAGGCAGGAAGTTCATTTAGGTCTGCTGAGCTGGAAGTCACAAGCCCCCATTTGTAATACTATCCTCCAACTTGTGAAACAAAATGCCCCCTTTCCAGGGTTGCATCTGCTTCATCCGGGCCCTAAAGGGAGGATACCATAAAAATATGGACATTAAGCTCCCAGGTGGAACTTGGGGAGGAGGTGCCATATAATTCCTAGGTGGCTTCATGCCTGTAGAGGCACCATCCCCTCCCTCTTAAAAGAGGCCGTCAACTGACAGGGTCGGTCTTCTCTCTCCTCTCTCTCTCTCTGCATAGACCAGGGCTGGAGGTGCTGCCAGATGTCCTCTGTCTCCCCTCCCTCCACCCCTCCTCCCTTCTGGCAATCCTCTGGCCCAGCACCCAGTCACGATGGGTCTATCTCTATGGGCAGTAACCCACGCTTATATGTGTGTTCACTTTCTCACCTTTGAAATACATTTTGCTCCTATTTTTTGTATCTTATATGTGTCTGTACTTGCAATGCTTGTCTCTGGGAAGCAAGGACCTGGAGGGAAAAATTAAAGCACCCTAACCCACATCAAAGGCACACGTGGACAGGGCGTGGCAGGCCCATGTTTCTTCCCAGCCAGACTTGCATCCCGGGACTGCCACTGGGCTGTGCTGGGCTGTGCTGGACAGGTGGAGAAATCCTGCTACAGGGACAGATTCTGCATGGAAGCAAAACGGCTCTGCTCAGACTATGTGCGTATTTACTTGGAGGACTTGCAGAGGAAAAAGGCACATTTGCAAGGAGCTTGGTCTGGGCAGGAGAGCCCCAGAGGTAGGCTAGTTCCCCCGACTGGGGCGGTTTCACCTCACACAAATGGTGAAAACCACAAGGAGGAAAGTACCTCTCTGATTCATAAGGGTCTGGAAGCAGAGCGTTGCTGGAGATGCAGGAAGAAGTCGACTTGTCGAGTGGTACACGGAGCCTAAAAACAAACAACAATGTCAGTCCAAGTGCACAGGGCAGTGAAAGTGTTTTCTCTATCCCTGAGAGAAAAAAGAGCTAAGTAGCGAAAAATGTCATTCAAGTTACACCAAGCAGAATGAAATTCTTCAACTTAAGCGACTAGCTTTCAGAGTCACTCTTGGGTTTTATTTTTAGGTCTTAACGAATAGCCATCAGCCATATCTCTTAAAATCTCCATTTGCTTTTGGGTTTTCTTGAGTCAACTGATTTGAAAGATGCTTGGGTACTTAACATTTTTAATCAAGAAAAGGCTTTATCATGAAATTTTGAGATCTCTTTGGTCAGATCAAATTGGGTAATGCATTTAATTTTTTTTATGGTCTGCAGAATTCAACAACTGAGCCCAGGCAGGAGTCCCTAGCGCTCAGAACAGATGTTCAGCCTCACTAGAACTAAGGGCAGCACTGCCTTTGCTAACGCATTAACGAAGTCATCACTCCTCTGAAAGTAGTGCCAGAGCCAGTGAGTAATTTATTCCCGAAACTGAGGTACACAACTGTCTTAGAATAACCATTGGCTCTCCTCAAAGAATCAGCCCTAGAGAATCCTCACCGAGCACCACCAAGACATCCAGTGCTCTGAAGGCTAACAAAGAGGGAGCTGAGATCGGCAATTAGAGGGCTTGCTCCTGCAAAGTCAAGCATTGGGAGCACTAAGGCATCACTGATAACTCTACTAATCAATCCCTCAGGGGTCTCCAGTTCCTGTTTCTGGGTTTTTTTTTTGTTTTTTTGTTTTTTTTTAACAACCCAAACCCAAATTAATGCTTCAAATTGAAAGTTAGAAAACAACCCTAGGGTCTAACTAGGTGACAGTCCATGCATTTCAAAAGACAGGATTTGATGGGGTTGTACAGGGAACGGAAGAACCGAGGAGTTGGACGGAAACAGGCAGGAACTCAAAGGTGCTACCTAAGCCAAAGACCAAAGGAGGAAGCATGTGCCCACGCCTCCAGAGCTGGCGCGGTTGGAGCTACGGTGCACCTTCCTGGTGGGAAATGGAACCAGGAGGTGACAAGGCTACTGTGGAAGGCACTACCTGACACAATGAGGGCTTCACACTGCTCCCTTCCCTCTCTTTGTGCAGACCACAGGACTCTTTGTGGTCCAATCCAGACAGAAGCCTGCAGGGGGCAGACACCGCTGCACTTAAGGCAGGGCAGAGACTAGATGAGGCACAATTCTAAGAGCAAATTGGTGACAGACATGCACACAGTCCAGGTATGGAATTTCGTGTGAATGTGTGTGCTTTAAGATTTACTTATTTATTATTTGAAAGGCAGAGTTACAGAGAGGTAGAGAGGTAGAGAGGTAGAGAGAGAGAGAGAGAGAGAGAGAGAGAGAGAGAGAAAGGTCTTCCATCCACTGATTCACTACCCAAATGGCCACAATGGCCAAAGCTGGGCTGATTGGAAGCCAGGAACCAGGAGCTCCCTCCAGGTTTCCCATGTGGGTGCAGGGGTTCAAGGACTTGGGCCATCTTCTACTGCTTTCCCAGACCATAGCAGAGAGCTGGATTGGAAGAGGAGCAGCCGGGACTCAAACCAGTACCCATATGGGATGTTGGCTCCGCAGGCCATGGCTTTAACCCGCTATGCCACAGTGCCAGCCCCGTGAATTTGTTTCTAAAAACCTTTTTAACAACCCAACTGTTGTGTGGACTCTCTGTTCCACCATGTGGAAACTCTCCTAGGAACCCCATGTACTTCCTGAGATGAACACTCTCATCAGAGCCGGGCTGCGTGCCCCAGGGCTGTCAGGGACCAAGCAAGGATGCACAGGAGCCGTGGATGGGTACCCTCTTTCCAGGGTGTGCTGACCCCCACTCTACCCCCTGGCACGTGCACAGGGCACATCCTTTGCTTCTGCTCCTTTCCTGTGTCCAGGACTTTATCCTGGGCTTTTGACTAGATCCATTCCTTCTCTTGGCCAACGCCAAGTCTTGGAGGGGAGCTCAGCCTTCAAGATGGAGCGGGGTGGGCCAGTGAAAGGAGTTCCTGCCTAGGCGAATGAAGAGGTGAGAAGAAATTCCACCCTGAAGCTTAAGTGAGAAAATCTGCTGACGTAAGCAGAGAACTAGATGCAGTTTGCCGCTCCACAAGCACCAAGAGAAAGGGCTGGCAGGAGAAGCCGGGGCGGAGGTGGGGCGTGTGCTTTAGGCGAGCTATTTACATAGTCTCCCTCTCCCAGCCATCAGTCCTCATGGCCACATGACTCCTGTGGGACCCTCATTCTCTGGCTGATCAGTGGGAGGAAGGACTGGGACAGAACTAGGCCTACCATGCTTCTTCAGGGTTACCCAAAGCAGCAAGGCTCCTGACCCTTTCGATTCCAAGTTGTGTGAAGTTTCCTTAAAATTACCAAGACCTGCTAGAGTCCTGCCAAGAAATCCTTTTTTTTTTTTTTCTTTTTGGTCTTATATGACAGTGAACAAGGTGTTTTCTATTTGCAACCAGGAGTTAAAGAAAAGTAATTGGAGGGGCCGGTACTGTGGCACAGTGGGTTAACGCCTTGGCCTGAAGCGCCGGCATCCCATATGGGCGCCAGTTCTAGTCCCAGCTGCTCCTCTTCCAATCCAGCTCTCTGCTATGGCTTGGGATAGCAGTAGAAGATGGCACAAGTCCTTGGGCCCCTGCACCCACGTGGGAGACCTGGAGGAAGCCCCTGGCTCCTGGCTCCTGGCTTCAGATTGGCGCAGCCGGCCGTTGTGGCCATCTGGGGAATGAACCAGTAGATGGAAGACTTTTCTCTCTGTCTCTGCTTCTCTCTGTAACTGTCTTTCAAATAAATAAAATAAATCTTTTTTAAAAAAAGAATAAATAACTTGCTCAAGACCATAACACAGTAAATGTTAGAGAGCTGGGACTCTGATTAGGCAACTCTTAGGTTCAGGCTCTTGGCACCAAACATGCTGTCACTTTTGAAGTTTTAAAATTGGCATCACCAGCTGGGTTCCTCCCATCCCAAGTCACCTTGTTTCTAAACACTGTAACGCTGTCTCCTTTCACAGCAGATGTCAAGAGCACAGGCATTAGAATCTGTAGTTCAAAGATTACTGCTTCCTTTTTAAAAATACACTTTTCATCTTGGAATAATTTAAAATATACAGAAAAGTTGCAAGGATAGTACAGAGAGTCCTTGCTGTTTCTCCCAGTGTTAAGTTCGTACATTCCCATGATACATTTGTCAAAATTAAGAAACCAACAGAGACATTACTATGAACCAAACTCCAGACTTTATTCAGATTTCACCACTTTTTCCACTAACGTCCTTTTTCTGTTCCAGGATCCAATCCAGAAACCCACATTGCATTTGGACTGCCTCAATTTCTAACTTGGAAAAAAGAAAAAAACCTGAGACATTTAAAGCAACTGAAATTGGACCTAAATACAATGCTAGCTTTCCCATTTTTGGACACTCTTTCTTTGGAGACTCTCCTTCAGATTCCAAGTTGCTAAATATTCCTTAAGCCTAGAAGATGATAGATTTGTTACCTTTTCCACTTCTTTCTCCTTGTAATCTAATCTGGGTCATAAATGGTTTGCAATGACTCAGACCAAGTCATACAGCTTTCTTATGCTGTGCCACTTGGAATGCAAAATTTTCATTTTTTAAAAAATTTTCCTGATTTTCTACAGTAAGCATGGGATATAAAAGGGATCTTCAAAAAGTTCATGGAAATGCATAGTATGAAAAAACTATCTGGGGATTTCAAATTTTTTGCACCAAATAAACTTATTTTTAATTCAATTTTCTCATGATTTCTCAGGAAGTACTCTTGTGGAATTGGTTTTAAAAAGATGGAATATTCTATTGAGGTCGGTGGGTTCATCCTGGCTTTAAGGGTAACATGTATTAAAATTGTTAAGGTGTATGCCAGTATGTGTGACTGGGAGAGTACATGGAATTGATTTTGGATTTCTTGGGATTTGTGAATGGTGGAGTTTATGAGAGATTTTCAGGAAGTGCTTTCTCAAAGGATGGGCACCAGTGGCCAAAAACAGAGGTAAAGATCCTTAGTAAATGCTGGTCGTTGAAGTCCAGCAGCCTGGTGCAAATGCAGAATGAGGCAAAGCAATCCTGACTGATGAGTCCTTGTGTGTGTTTTCCCCTCCAATAAACCTTTTATTTAAGGAATACAAGCTTAATGCATTTCACGAGTACAACTTTAGGAATACAGTGATTCTTCCCACCAGAGCCGCCCTCCCACTCCCACTCCCACTCCCTCCTCTCCTTCCTCTTCCTCTTCCATTTGCAGTCCCATTCTCCACTAAGATCCATTTTTGTTTAACTTTGTACACAGAAGACCAACTCTACACTAAGTAAAGAGTTCAACAATTAGCACACACACACAAAAAAACTGTTGCTCAACAGTCCAGACAATGGCTGTTCAAAGTCATTGTATCTTGAAGTTAATTTCAGTTCTTTCTTTATCAGCTGCATAGTTTGCAAATAGTTTCTCTCGATCTTTTGGTTGCCTCTTCACTCTCCTCAGTGTTCTTTTGCATACAGAAGCTTTTCAAATTGATGTGATCCCATTTGTTAATTTTGGCTTTGATTGCTTGCCTCTGGGGTCTTTTCCAAGAAGTGTTTTGCCTGTGCCAATATCTTGCAGGGTTTCTCTGATGTTCTCTAATAATTTGATGGTATTGGGTCATAGAGTCAGATCTTTAATCCATGGTGAATGGCATTTCTCTTGTGCACATTTTAGAATCTTTTATTTGTTTTACTGTGGGGAGTTTGATTACAGTGTGTCATGGTGAAGATCTTTTCTGGTCATATCTATTAGGAGTTCTATGTGCTTCCTTTACTTGGATGCCCTTTATTTCTCCAAATTAGGGAAGTTTTCTGTTATTATTTCACTAAAAAGGCCTTCTAATCATTTCACTTTCTACACCTTCAGGAACTCCTAGGACCCATATTGGGTCATTTGATAGTATCCTCTAGATTCCTACAGTGTTGTTTATTTCTAGTTTCTTCTTCATGTTTTTCATCTACTGTATAATTTCCTGCGTGTGTCTTCTGTGTTGGATAATTCTTTCTTCTGCTTCATTGATTCTATTGTTAAGGCTTTCCACTTCATTTTGTTTGGTTCTATTGAATTTTTCATTTCTAGTATCTCATTTTGATTTCTCTTTTTTTTAAACTTTTTTTGACAGATAGAGTTATAGACAGTGAAAGAGAGAGACAGAGAGAAAGGTCTTCCTTCCGTTGGTTCACTCCCCAAGTGGCCGCTGTGCTGATCCAAAGCCAGGAGCCAGGTGCTTCCTCCTGGTCTCCCATGTGGGTGCAGGGCCCAAGCACTTGGGCCATCCTCCACTGCCCTCCATCCTCCCTGCCCTCCCAGTGCCACAGCAGAGAGCTGGACTGGAAGAGGAGCAACCTTGACTAGAACCTGGTGCCCATATGAGATGCCAACACTGCAGGCAGATTAACCAAGTGAGCCATGGCGCCGGCCCCTTGATTTCTCTTAAAGATCTGAATTTTGGGGCTGACGCCATGGCTCACTAGGCTAATCTCTGCCTGCGGTGCGGCACCCCAGGTTCTAGTCCTGGTTGGGGCACCAGATTCTGTCCCAGTTGCTCCTCTTCCAGTCCAGGTCTCTGCTGTGGCCCAGGAAGGCAGTGGA